TTACCAATGGCTAACATAATCTATACTCTGTAATACGCACCTCTGGCAACAATTTAATTTGACATCAGTTTTATATATCAAGAATCCACATTTCACTGGATTCTTTGTTCCAAGTTAATTTTAATTTTCCCACTGCATGAATGGGTCAGAATGTGTTGGCCACTTCTGACCTGTCATCACCTACAACGGAGGCTTAAACGATGCCTAAAGATTATCATTATTTTATTTTTGGTGGATGGTGACTAGCACTGGAATCTAGGATGAGCGTTTCGTCCCACTTGGGACTGCTCAACTGGAGGTACCCCTGCTATTTCCAGTGAGTGATGGGGTCTTCCCACTGAGACTCAAACCCAGTATCCTTCGTTTGATACGTCAAGGCGTTATCTACTAAACCACTTTAACCACGACATCTCATCGAGGTGTCCTTACTAGGAGCCATTATGTCAACAGATACCAAACATTTCATCCCAGTCAATCAACGGGAAAATCAACAATAACAGGTGTCTGTTGCAAAAGAGATGGCTTTCGTAGACCAAGTGGTCTAGTGAATAACGTCTTGGCTTTTGAAGCAAAGGATATTCGGTTCCAGTCTCAGTGAGAGGACCATCACTCACTAGAAATTGCAGGGGTATATCCACTAAAGAATCCCAAATCGGATGAAACACTTATCCTTGATTCCGCTGCTACGAATCATCCACCAAATTATATTCAATGGATTCTGCTTGGGAGTATAAATAACCGTTAAATATTTACTGAGTTCTCTTGATCCTCTCAAGTGTTATCATTTTTCTTTCAGGTGCACTTTCACATAAAAATTCTATTTATCATCACAAATGAAAGATAATAATAGTAATATGTCTTCGATTCGGAATTCATTAATAAATTAGGAAATCTAGTGATGGATGATTCTTCTTTTTATCCGAACTTTTCTCAAGTCTGCTGACATAATTACATGAAGGTACTCAAAGCTTGAAAGAAAAGCCTACCTATTGGAATGAAATCCATTAGTTAATTGATAGGAAGTTCGCTATTAGATTTAACAGTCTAAGAGTCATTTCCTCATAGGGCTATAAGTGGGTACTACTGGTGTGTGGAGAGCTGTCTGTTATCCAAAATGGATAGACAGCAATTTACGTCAATGTCTACGTCCCAAATCTTGGTCATAAGAAAAAAACAAAGACTAATTCAACAACCAATCACAGCAGACTTTGCGTGGGCGGATACGATTAGCAGATATATATCAACGGACTGTCTGAGAAACGGCCACATGGAGATGACAGAATAACTTTCAACAGGTAAACAACCACTCAGAAGACTTTACCTCTCTCCTAACAATAATGAATAATAATGTACATAAAAATATATAAATATCTCTTGATTTTCTGAATAAACGATCTGTTGCCTGGCCCTTGTGCTTCTGCTGTTATACTGGGAAGCCACAAATGAGCAAGAAATAAGTATCCATTTACCCTTAAAAATCTCACTCATTTTCCAATAATATCAGTTACTTATAAAACTTATTTTCATCTAAAACCTGATGAGAGTAGGTCTTCATTTGTCTAATCCCTGGTGCTTATCAGAGCTACTCTGTACGGTCTGACTAACTGCTAGTTTGTTCAATGTACTATTTGTTACTAGCTATTAGTACAAGCTAACCAGATCAAAGTGGTTTAAATACCAAACAGCAGTGCATTTAATTGGTAAGCTAAAAAAGGGATTATTATAATTATTATTTCTCCCTTGGGTTCCTAGTGGAACATGGGGCTTCAACTGCACGTCTCCATTTGCTTCTGTCTTCTGCTGTACTTTTAACCTGCATCCATCTTAGTCCATACTCTTTCAACTACTCTTCACACGATCTCCTCCATGTCACCTTTGGACGTCCCACACGCCGCTTCCCTTTCGGGTTCCACTCGAGGGCTTAGTGCGCGATGTCACCCAGCGGTCTCCTCAGCGAGTGTCCGATCCATCTCCACTTTCTCCTGCATATTTGTTGGGCGATTGGTTCTTGCTTTGTTTGTTCCCATAATTCCTTGTTGGTGATTCTTTCCGGCCATCTGATCTTCAGTATTGAGCGAAGACAGTTGTTAATAAAGGTCTGCAACCTTTTGGAAATATTCTTTGTGACCCTCCAAGTTTCTGATCCGTATAGAAGAACTGACTTGACGTTTGTATTGAAAATCCGAATTTTGTTGTTGATGCTGAGTGACGAAGATTTCCAGATTGATTTCAGGTTGATGAATGTGTTTCTCGCCTTCCCGATTCTCGATTTGACATCCTCGTCCGCTCCTCCTGTAGTTGAGACAATGCTCCCTAGATAAGTGAATGAAGTAACCTCTTTCAAATCCCTCCCGTTGATGGTGATTGACGTTGGATGTTGCTGCTGTTGCTGTTGTTGTTTGGTTATTTTCATAACCTCCGTCTTGTCTATGTTCACCTGGAGTCCTGTCTTCGCTGCTTCTTCGACCAGTTTGTCGGTTTTCGCTTGTAAGTCTTCGATTTGTGTGACATCAAACATAAATCACCCGCGAAATCCAGGTCTTCTAGGTTCAGTCCAGGATATTCCTGTCTTCTCGTTTCCCACTGTCTGACGCATAATCCAGTCAGTCCACCACAATTAGGAATATCATTGGTGATATTAAGCACCCTTGTCTGACTCCTGTGTTTACTCCAAACGCCTCGCTGAGTTTTCCGTTGTGGATCACTTGACATGTGCCGTTGTCGTACAGCTGTTGAATAAGGTTGATGAATATTTGGGGTACGCCATAGTACTCGAGTAATTTCCAAATTACTTCGCGATCAACGCTGTCGAAGGCCTTCTCAAAGTCTATAAAGTTGAGGTAGAGGTTTGATTGCCATTCCATGCTTTGTTCGATGATGATGCGTAGAGTTGCAATTTGGTCAGTACATGATTTGCCTTTCCTGAATCCAGCTTGTTCTGGTCGGAGTTCTGTCTCCAGTGCGTCCTTTAATCTCTCCAGGATGATGCGACTCAGGATTTTACTTGGCGTCGACAGGAGCATGATTCCTCGCCAGTTCTTGCAGAGTGAGGCCTAAGTCGCCCTTCTTTGGTAGTTTCACGAGGTAACCTTTCCTCCAGTCAGTAGGCACCTTTCCCTCCTTCCAGACCTTTTGCAATAATGGAGTCAGCATGTCTGCTGTAGTCTCTGGGTCCGCTTTCAGTGCTTCAGGGGGTATTCCATCTGGTCCGGCTGCTTTTCCAGCTTTCAGAAGCTTGATTGCATTCAAGACTTCAGCTCTCGTTGGAGGATTGGTGTCAACTTGCAGTTGTGTGCGCGCTGTTGTTGGTATTTCTGGACGGGTTGCAGGTGATGGTCGGTTCAAGAGTCCTTTGAAGTGATCCGCCCATTGTTTAATCTGTTTTTCTTCCTTGGTAATTGGGTTCCCTTGGCTGTCTTTTATAGGTTTCGCTTGTGTTGATCTCTTCCCGGATAGAGATTTGGTTATCTGATATAGTGTCCTCAGGTCCCTTTTGCCTGCTGCCTTCTCAGCTTCAGTGGCCAGGTTGTCGTAGAATCGTCTTTTGTCCTTCCTAGCACTCTTCTTCACTTCTTTGTCCAGTGCTTTGTAAGTTGAGCTCATCGTCTCCTTCTCCTGTCCGTCCTTGCATTGAATCATTTTCTCTTTCACCATTCTCCTCTCTTCTATTAATTTCCAAGTGTCCGTTGAGAGCCATTCCTTGTCTTGTCTCTTCTTTCTTCCTAGAACCGTTGAACACGTTTCGTTGAGAATCGCCTTCAGAGACTTCCAATGTTCTTCCACGCATGATTCTTCAGTGATGTCGCGTAGTGTTTCCTGCTTTGCTCTGACAGTTGCAGTGAAAGTGTCTTTTGTGGTTGTGTCCTTCAGTTTGAGTGTTGAACTTGCATTGTGGCCTATCCCCAGCTATCCTCGAGGCTTTTAGTTTCACCTTGAAAGTCCCTTCTACTAGATAGTGGTCTGAACCCACATCTGCTCCTCTCCTTGACCTTGTGTCCAGTAGGCTCCGTCTCCACTTTCTTGAAATTGAGATGAAGTCTATTTGATTCTTGGTGTTTCCATCTGGTGAAATCCATGTCGTCTTGTGTATATCCTTGTGTTTGAACACACTACCACCAATCACCAAATCATTGAAGGCGCAGAAGTCTGAGAAGAGTTCACCATTGTCGTTCATTTCACCGAGGGCCTCACGACCCATGGTGAGTTCTCTTCCTGTGTTGTCTCCTCCCAGCTTCGCATTCATGTCGCCCATCAGGATTTTGATATCGCCATTTGGGACGTTGTCCATTATTGCTTGTAGTTGTCTGTAGAACGCCTCCTTCTTCTCTTGTTCTGAGACGTTTGTAGGCGCATAGCATTGAATGACTGTAACTTTCCTTCCTTTTGAGTTGAACCTGGCTGTCATTATCCTGGAGGAGATTGGTTCCCACTGCATGAGAGCTTTGGCTGCTGTTGGTGACATCATGATGGCCACTCCCTCGGTGTGCTCATGGTTGTCCTCTAGGTGGCCGGAATAGATTACTGTCTCTCCAGTAGGTAGTTGGCACCTTCCAGTTCCGTTCCATCTGCTCTCGCAGATTCCCAACACTTCTATTCTGTACCTTCTCATTTCAGCGGCTATCTGGGCAGCCTTTCCAGTTTCGTACATTGTACGAACATTCCAGGTACCCATCCTTACTTTTGCTTTCATCGAAAGAAGGCACATCGGCTGACTGGCTTCCCGAAGGCTTTCACCAGCCTGCGTCATTTCACTTCCCCGATTCCAGCGAAAAGTAAGGCTATTGCTTATGTTTTTAGAATTTTTAATATATTTATTCGTTGAAGTTTCTGTAGCGATTTGGTTGTTTTACAGGGGTGGAGTTGCTAGCACCACGCCCCAACCCTCCCTCTTTACCCGGGCTTGGGACCGGCTAGAAAACTAGGAGGCTAGTAGCCTAGCAAGCAAGTAATCTGGCGAGGGGTAGTCATATACATAATGAATATTTAATGATACGTTTTAGGTCTCACACATGCTGGTGTATGGGTAGCATGTTGCTCGTATATTATGCAAGCATTTCAACCAGAATTTCGTTCATCAACACTTGGATTCTTACGTGCAATTCATTATGGATTGGGACGTGGTTTAGGCGCTATGTTTGGTGGTCTTGTAATATCAAGTTATGGTAAGTCATTTCTTTTTTCATTTTGGTGATTCAACAAAGTTGACCATTTTCAATGAATATACATTGTTCACCCTGATTATTTCCTGGTTTGCTTAAAAAGACTATGTCATAATTCGTAGAATGCTGAAGACGGTCAGTAGGGTGAGTGGTGTCCCATTGGACCACATAGTTAACGTCGTTGTCGATAAGCACTTGACTTCGTACAATAAATTTACTAGAGGAATTTTGTCTGACTTGCAGCATCCACTTTACTTACCTTCAGATTTCACCTTAGATCTCCTCAGGTAGAACAAGAAGTAACTTCATAAAACTGTATGCTCACACATCTAAGTATAAAAATTCTATGATACCATCCATAGTTGGCACGTATTTTATGTGATGAAAATAGTGTCAGGCAAGAATTAACTAACCTTTTATCATCTAGTAAATAAACAATTTCCTCCATCCATCCTTATATACCTCCTTCAAGTTTTACTTTTATTATTTCTATTATATTTATGGTCCTGTTGCTTCTTTGTTTGTTTTACTCTCATAATTGCAAACACCAACTTATCTCTATGACTGCTGTAATCTTTGTTTTTCCCCTCATCATATCATGTAAAGAGAAAATTATATTCAATATTTTTAAACATGCCAGGATTTCTATACCACACTGACAATACTGTGTGAAACAAGCCCATGGAATTTTTCACTTGTATTATTATTAGTACCTTAGCTGTTGTCATTATCATTATTATTTCCATTTAATATGCTGCATGTTTTTGACATTACCTCTATTGTAAATATGGATGATCTTCTGTGTGAATAATTTTATTTATAATTTGAGGAAATTAGATGCAATATTGTGATTAATGCTGAAAATTCCATTCTGTATCACAAGTACTTTATCTGGAATAAAGTAAATCATTATTATTATTATTATTACTATTTATTGGAGGGTTTTTAATGTGAATCGACACGTTATACAGAGATACTTCTCTCGGAAGTCACACTGAAGGGACCAAGATTAGTACTCATATTTTTCCTGTTTTTTTTCAGAAATACAAATACTTTGTTTTTTACTCCTTTACGTTCCTAATGGAACATACGGGACTCCAAGCTAGACCTTTGAAGTTTCAGAAGCAGTGATTTATAATTTTTACGGATTGAGGTTGTTAACCTCACGCCTCACCTTCCACCTCTACCGGCCTTAATACCAGCTTAGAGAGGAATAGGGGTGCGTCGAACCCCGAACCACCGTTCTACCACTGTACCACCGACGGCGAATACAAGTAATAGAACCAATATTCCTCCCACGATAGTAAAAGTAGGCTTAATAGAATGTTTAGGCAAAGGAAAAATTAACAAACCAGCAAAATATGTAACCTACAACACGAAGTTAAACACATGAAAGAAGTCCCAATTAATATTTCTAGAAGCATATATGATAAGTTAAAATGTTAAGAATGAAACGATCATTGTAACAAGATGATACACAAGACTGATTGATGTTATTAGGTGAAAATCGCTCCAATTAACCAACCACTATTGCTTGATAACAAGATTAGTGGAGAGGTGGTGAGGATAAAAACACATCGAAAAGCCTTTTTACTATGAGCTGAAGCAATGACTAATAACAGAGGTATAGTTAACACCAGAAGTTTCAAGAGGAGGGAGCTTAAAACATTCATTGTTGTTGTTGTATAAAGAAGGAACTTCAGAAACGCTACTTAAGACTATCAGCATATTATGAATTAAAACCAACATCATCATTTAAAATATCCTATGGAGCCCACACTTTTCAATAAATGTAGATCAGATACAAAGACTAAAGTGGCAGGCATGGATTAATCATATTATCGGAGCATAAATTTAGATTAATAAATCTTACTAGGTTGATAAACATAGAGTATAACTCAGTCACGGTACAGCATGAATTTTCACAAAATAATACTCCTAAACAATGAAATGAAACAGATAGAAGAAAAGTTAAATAACTAAATATCCTATAAAATTCAATTAGGAATATCAAAAAAGGTCAAAAGCAAAATAAAAATAATAAATAGTAAAACTAGTAATGATGACATAATTAAGGGAAAATGTAAGGCATCTACAGTAGTTTTACCATCTAAGGAGGGGACATCTGAGACCCTCTCTACGTAGGATTCTTAAAAAAATCAGACATTAGAGTGGCATTCAAACTTATAAACTCACTCAACTCTGTAAAATAAAGGACCCTTGTAGGTTGACCCAATTAAACAAAATAATATAATTTACAAAACACTTTGCAACGATTGTTAGTTAAGTCGACTACACAAGTCAAACCAGTCGATCGACAGTAAGTAGATTGCCTGTCAGAACATATGAATTTCGCTAAGGAAAGAATGATTGATCCCATGAAGATAAGTGTTATGTACTCGTCTCCAAGTTATTGTTATGTACTGGTCGAGAAATTAATAGTCCTGACGCAAGAAGGCGGAAATCAGAAGACCACTAGGTTTGCGATGATACTTCTATTTTCCAAACACCAGGAGAAGCAAAAGTGGTATCACACCAAAGTAAGTTAAGTCACACAAATTGTGAGAGCGAAATATATATGAATGTCCAGACAAGGGTGTGAACAAATCAATAGACAGTCTTAACATGAATGGCTAATTATAATGAAGTATCGATCCATATATACATAGCGAAATATAGCAGACATGTCAACAACCACACATATAATATGGATATATGTCACCAAGCAACGGACTGTCAACAAACACTCATATTATATATAATATAAGGGGAATATACATTGTTAAAGGAGACAGGTTCATCAAAGTGAAATGGTCACAGACTAAGCGAGCAAACAGAAAGAGAGATCACCATACACACATATATATATATATGGATACATATCAATAAGTAATTCAGAAAAGAGTTCAGCAATAACACTGTATGCATTAACACACAACCACACATAGGTTGGGGGGACAGAGTCAAAATTCTGAAAGTAATAAAGGTAGGTGGAGAGAGAGAGAGGTGGTTTATTATTGAATCCTGCCTGGTTCATTGAGTCTACACCCAACATAACACATGGATAAAGAAGGGACTCAATGCAAATAGCAGAGATATGCATGGAAGGTATTGTTACCACCAGTCAGTCAAATCAGAGGAGGATAATAAATAATGTTAAAGTGTATTCAATTCCATTTACATTCTAACAAGCAAGTTATTTTTTTCACTATAAAAACAACTTATTTCCTATATGATTGTATTTGATTGACGACACTCATATTATTATTTCCGAATGTACTTTGTCATCTTATATTGATTTTATTCAATCAAATGTCTAATGGCATCAATTTTTACTCATGTATATAAATGAAGCAAGAAAGTGAGTTGTGTGAGTGAGTGAGTGCCTTGATATGATTATAAGCAGCGATGATAATTATTACTCACTGTATAACAACACACTGTGTGATTTTGTCAAAATAGCAAATTTTTATCCATAATGGAGTTATACTCTATCACCACAGTGCCAACGTTTCATGCTTATATCGAGAGTCCTGAAACCTAACTTAACCGGTTTAAATAGATAGCTTGATTTAAGAAGCCTAACCTGTCGAATCTATGTAGAATAAATTCAAGAAAAATGATTAAACCCCTTTTCCAGATATCAGAATTGTTCTTCTACATTTACAACGAAACAAACGAATAAGAACTGTAAAATGAAGTTACAGACTGTATGAAACATCCTCTAACTTTAACCATTCGGTGTTCTGAAAGCCTTACTATTCTCAACAACCAATTGTTCTGAATATAGTGTGAACACAGAAATGTAGGACTTGAAGAGGGATTTAATCAACAAAAAGTTTTCTTGTATCGATTTTGTAGGGATATTTTTTGATTCGTTGGAGGATTTCATTATGAGCTGACATCAGTTACAGAAACATTAGAAAACCTACTGGGAGTACTGCCAGACAGCTGCTTCGTCAGCACTCACCTAACCTACTAAAGTTCGAACCCAGGACCTTCTGATTACAAGGCAGGCGAGCTCGTGGACCATTAGGCCAATGGGATTTGATCCAATAACCAATCCATGAGTTCTAACTTCTGCCGATGAATAACTGTCCTCACCTTCAACCTGCTGTACCCTACTGGTCACGGTTGCCCTCTAGAACCTTAGGTAACTGCCTGCATAGGGCCAATCGCTGGTGAGCATCAGATCAATTTTCAAGTATCGGTTTTTGTAGGGATTTTGTTTGTTTCTTGCTTTAATTTGGTGTAGAAGTTTTCAAAGAATAAATTGACTTTCAAACACCATCCAATGCATAATATCATTTCACTATGTAATATATACTCAATAAATGAACTAACAGTGAAGTATATTTTCGTTGAAATTTAGTATTAACCTTACGATTACTGATAGTCCGCATAAGTAGATGTACTTTAGATGCAGCTGCAGTCTTGTAACATAACATTGTCTCCAGGTTAAACAAGAGGAGCTAAATTTGTTCGCTGCACCTTCTTAGATTACACATCTCCTTTCGACTCAGTACCTAGGGACATTTTGTTAAACAAGCTTGCTGAAACTCAAACTGACTGTTGGGTTGTCAAATGGCTACATTCTTATTTCTCAGAAATAAAGCAGTACACTGTATGTCAGGGGAGGTCATTCACTTCATTGATTACTGAGACTGGTGTCCCTCAAGGCGCTGTCCTTCCTTCTTTTCTGTTTTCCTACTTCTTGCATGACTTGCCTCACTCTAATGAAATGAACTTTGTTAAGTATGCCGGCGATCTAACTATTTCAATGTCTGTTAATTCCCAGCTTGACTGTACTAAGATGAACAGCTTTCTATCAGGAATTAGCAAATGGCCTTGGTCTAACGGCCTTAAACTAAATCCTTCCAAATGTCAGACTGTTAATTTCAGTTTCCGATGTAAACGAAAGTTAAATGAAGCTGTTAATTCCCATTACCGCTGCAAAATTGATGACACTGATATAGAAACCAAGTCTGACGTTAAGTATCTTGGATTAATTCTTTCTTCTGACCTATCCTGGTCTTCCCATGTCTTAGAGATTTCTAAAAGGATATTTCGTCTGACTTTTTACATTAAGAAGTTAAAGCACTCAGGCGTAACCCAACTCGTCCTCCTCTCACAGTCTGTCAACTCTTGCATCTTACCTATTCTTCTTTACTGTTCACCCCTGCTTATTCTTTCCTGGATTGCTTAAAAAAGACTATGTCATACTTCCTAGAACTCTGAAGACTGTCAGTCAGTAGGGCGAGTGCTTGTATCCCATTGGGCCATATCGTTGACACTGTCACTGATAGGCACTTGATGTCATGCAACAAATTTGATAAAGGAATTTTGTCAGACTCTGAGCATCCACTCTACCCGCAGCTCCAACCTTGTGTCTCCTCAGGTAAAACAAGGAGTCTTTTCAGAAGACTTTATGCACGTACGTCTAAGTATAAAAATTCCACTATGCCATATTTGGCGTCACGTACTTTGTGTGATGAAAATAGTATCAGACATGAACTAACTAACCTTCTTTGCACTACTAAATAAACCATTTCCTCCACCCTTACAACATTCACCTTTATTGTTATTGTACTTCTTATATTTATAATCCTCTCAATTTTTTGTTTTTATTTATTTATTTTTCATAAGTGTGAGCATAATTTAAGCTGTGTTATAGCTGTTAATTTCGTCTTTCCCTTCACCATACTATATCAATAGAACATTAGATCCAATAATGTATAACATGCTAAAATTTCCAAACTGAATTGACAATACCGTTTGATCAAAGGGGTGAATACATGAACTAATAGTAGTCGTATGAAATGCAATTAAAATATTTGTGGTTATAATCATAGTTAAATGTCAAGTGTCAAAATAATTAATGTCTTATATCGAATAATACATAACGTGTATAGATTTGGAAAGATATACATAATTATAAGAGTAGTAGACGAATATAAAATGTTACATAACATGGTGTGAAATTTGATAAGATAGAATTTAATATTGTAAAAATAAAAAATATTAAAATTAATAATTTTGAGTTTAAAATGACAAGTGGGTCAAGTGGAAAAGATTCAGAGTGAGAATAGTAATAATATTCGTAATAATCGTAGTAATAAGGGAAAGGTACATAGAATAACTGAATAAACAAAATAAATAAATGTCTATCCCTCTACAGTCAAGGCAGGAGTAGGGATTGTACATACTTCTGTTGTACACAAAGGTGTGTCTGGCTTAAAGCCATGAATGTCCAAGGCCTCCGCTGTCTTTAGAAGTCTGTAATCATAGAGTTATCATAGATTCTGTATATTATTATGTTAAAAGCATGATCAGGGTTGACCGAGTGACAGAAGCCGATCAGGTGTTCCAGAATAGAGCTTTGCGCACACCTATCTCCCTGGTAAAGCCAAGCTGGTGGAATATGTTCTCATATCCGTGTGGAAAGCGTCCTTTGGCTACAGCCAATGTACCTTGCTCCACAAGAACAGTGGAACTGATAGATGCATATGGAGGTGACCAGAAGGGGGGGCGTTTCTTTCAAAGAGATGGAGAACAACTTGTAGCTGGTAAACGTCATTTGTAATTTTGTTGCAGGGCATGTCTTACTGACTGATTTCGAGAGACGGATTTGGAGCATATCTGAAACTTGATCACCTTTGAATTCCAAGATCATGAATAAAGTTTTCTTTGAAAATGACGTGGTGATCAGTTTGGACTGCTTATCTTTCGTGTTACTGCCAATAAATTGGTTCGAGTAACCGTTTTCTGCAAGTGTGGCTTTTAGGAAGCCAAGTTCTGAGTCAACGCAATCGGGACTACAAATATGTCTTATCATAAAGAAAAACGAATGAATTAGGTTCGTTTTCCTGGAAATAGGCACTCAACTGTAAAATTTAGTCAGTTGTGCGTTCCATGTACATTTCCGGTGGATAGATGTTTTGAGAGATCCATCATTACGTCTGCTAAGGCACACACCAAGAATACTGTTTGAAACAAACTCACTGTTATTATTAATATTAAGATCTCATAAATTACGTATTATTTTCAACTTTATTTCATTTCATTTTTAAAACTAGGAACTCCTGCAATGTTCCGATCTTATGGTGTCGCTTCAGCTCTAGTATTGTTGGCCTTTTTAGTACTGAATTATTTTATGCCTATACCTGCAGTGAGTGAAGAGCCAACTGAAGAGGATAAAATGTATTCTGACATTGCATCTAGTAAAACAAATGTAAATCAAACGCCATTTGGTAAGTTGTTTTTTTTCTTTGGTATGTTCTGTTACTTGAACAACGCATAAATCTATGTTTCTGCTACGATTCGGACTGATGGCCAAGTTAAACCTTGAACACAACTAACTACCAATCGGCGAATGACCTTGAATGGTTCAATGAGTTTTATCCACATTAGCTGAAGCCTTTATTCAGCTTGATTCGAGTCAAATGCCTCCTCTAAAGCAGTTGCGCTTGCAGTTTGTTGAGGATAAGCTTTTATAGTATTCCTTGGATGTGCTGTTGATTGGGAAGGAAATGATTTGTTCATGTGGAAGTGTCATGAGTACAAAAACTTCAGCAGATCGATTGATAGATATGTCCGTCGTTGTGCAAATTGTTTGAAACGAGTTAGTGTCAGGAGGGTGAGCTGTTGATTCTAATATTTCGTAAGAACATTTTTGCCAGGTTCCATCCGTCCTTAACCCAGATTTTTTATATTTGTAATTACTGGGTTTTAAAACAGCCTGTGAGAGGCATAGCTGCTGCAACTGAAAATAGCCTCGTTTCAACATTTCAGTGGCACCAGCACTACAGAGATATCGCGTCATGAAAATGAAGAGAATTACTTCGTTATTAGGAGGAGAAGGTGTCGTCGTACATGTGGACGAAACTGCCTTATTGAAAATAATATATAACCGTGGTCATGAGCGAGCAAGCAATGTTTGGGGGATCGACTTACATGACACCTCTCTGGAAAAAAGATTCGTCGAGAGGATACCAGACAGAAAGTCATCCACCTTAATACCTATTGTCACTTGACTGGTGAAACAAGGACCTACAATACACACCGATGATAGGAAAGGTTATAATTCTTGTTATCCCTTGGATATATTTATCACAGAATGAACCATTCTAATGATTTTGTGGATCCCATTACAGGGACACACACTTTTGGGGAAGGTTAAAAAACAGGATTAGAGCCATTAGTCGATCTCAGAAGAATGCCATTCATAGTCATTTAGATGAATATATGTACGGAATATGGTGTAGCTTTTGCAAATGATACTTCCATGCTAAACTGGAAGATGTTTTTAACACATGTGAGAGAAAGGTGTCCTCTGCAACAATTTTATACCATTCTTCATACATTTTTGTCATAAATATATATGTATTCTATATTCGAAAATGCCTCTTTCATGTGATTGGTGCGTTCAGCGTCACTCGCTGATTGGTAGTTAGTGGTGCTTAAAGTTTAACTTTGCTTAACTGATTTATAAGCAAAGTTTGATTTCTTAATATTTACAAATTTTCAGGGAGATTGCATCCGAAAAGTTTAATTACTCAGTGGGTAAAACGCTGGAGTAGTTTTTAACTTTCCTGATTAAACCGGGCTCCTTTAAAGATTTGTATTTGCGACAATGAACGTGACACCAGGATAGATGCGCAACGGTTTATTACTATTATTTTTATTATTATTATTATTATTATTATTATTATTCAAACCAAAACATGGAATTAGTCAATGAAATCCACAACAGTTAGTTTAAGCCAGTCAAGTAGGAAGGTGTAGACTGGATTCTTGGTTGGGGTCTTCGGGACTGTAAAAACCAAGGAAGGCTGGAGACAATTGGTGATATGGCTCAGAATCGTTCTCAGTGGCCAGAGCAGATGCGTCCATCCCTTGTGACGTATAATTTCCAAAGAAGCTATATTGTTATTCGTTATTGCTACTCCTTTTGTTTCACATCTCTGTTCTTTGACATTACTATTCCTTCTATCTCATATCCCTGTCTGCTGTTCCTATTTTGCGTTTCTTCTACTTTCTTCTCTTGCTTTGTGTGCTATATGTTGGGAGTGTGGCGACTTGAACTACTGCACATCGGTGCAAAGTTCTATGTCGAAAACAGACAGACAGACAGACAAATAGACATTGGACAGTACTTCAAATTATGTTCTGGATGAATGACAAAATGTGTTGTAAATGTTTTCCCGTCAATAATTTTGTCTCATTATGTCAGACATCAAATAAGCGCTTAGCTAGCTGTTGAATGTCAGCTGCCTTACTACACCATTAAAATTGATTGAGTCATAACACGTAACACTTCAATCTGATTAACAGTTCAGTAAAATATCCTGTTGCATTTTAACAATTTGGTTACTTTTGTGGTGGTAAGTAAATCCTCGAAATTATCAATCTACAGATGTCATCATTCAAAATTAGATATTGGCGTTCCTACTGTTTAAGTTGACCTGGCAAACTGAGGATATGTGATTAAGAAGGCTCGCATTTTGGCACGCCGTCGTGTTACGCTTAGTCCCTAATCACTGAACACCAACCAGTTAGGCAGTCATCATCCGCCTAATTTTCTGATCCCGAAATATCTTGAATGATCACTCCGGTTTTTCCATATATCTATGGTTTGAGTAGAACAAGTACTGGATGAAAACTGGCGTTTGTATACAGTATATCTTGGGCAATCATCAGCAGCTTTTATCTCTTAAATCTTGATTGACTGTTGTTCACAGATAACGATAAATGTCCGACTATTTACGTTGTTCGGAAATTAATCTTGTTGTGTGACTTTTTTCTAACATCTTGTCTTGGTTAATTTTCAAGGGTTGGTTTTTGTAGGGATTTAGTTTGATTGGTTGAAAGATTTCATCATGAGCTGACATCAGTTAGAGAACCATTGTAAAATCGGCACGGAGTACGGGACGGCTGTACGCACCCACAGATGTTGGAGCCCGGGACCACCTTGTTAGAATTCATAGGCTATCCACTGGATCTAGTCCCAGTGGTTTACGAGCTCACTAGCCTTGTAACTAGAAGGTCCCGGGATCGAACCTGAGTAGGGTGGGGGAGTGCTGCTGAAGAGTCCCGAACTAAGCTGACGAAATAGCTGTCCAGTACTCCAAGTTGGTTTTCCAATGGTTCTGTTATCGATATCGACTCATTATGAAATCCCCCCAGCCAAGTTAATTTTATTTTCACATTTCCCGCTTATTTTTCAATGAACAGGTAATGCATTTCAAACAAGTGAAGTAACACATGATTATTATCTACAAAAGGAGAAAAGCCAACAACCATTATCACCCAAACAACAAATGCCATATTCATCCGTCAACGGTCAACAACAACAGCAACAACAACAATATGGACCGCTAAAGGACACGTATCGTCAAGGCTACTAATGCAATAACAAATGCCATCCACTTATTTCATTGTTATTCAACTATTTCTTTTAAAAATCTCATCTAAGCGCAAAACACAAAGTTGAATATTTATAGTATTTATCGACAAAAAAACGACATTGGTTGTGAAGAAAATAATTCTTGAGAACTTTTGATCAAACAGTCAACTGACAGAATAACCCCATATCTAGTGTAATTTCACATTCTTTATGATGACAAATGAAAAAATGTTCATTAGCTGACATTTCCTTATCAAACAATCTACCTTCTTTTGTCTACATTCATTCTACACATAAGGATAATGAATGTTTACTGCAGTTATTCTCATTTCAGTTGTTAAGCAGCTTGCTATACCATTTAGATATACTTCTTCGTACCATTTTATTCAAATTTACCGCCAAAGATATTTATGCTTGAATTCAAAGAAATAATGCATTATTTATGAATGGTTGTGACTTGATTCTGTCTATCGATAAATATATTATTATTCTTTACCTTCTTAAAAATATATATATATATGCATTCATGGATTCCATTTATTTGAAACTTAAATCTCTGCGTAAACATTTAAAATACACACATCCTTGTTTAAATGTTTATAAAAAAAAGACTTTTATGGAAATATTCAACTTTGAAACTTTCTTCAAATACACTTATTATCGAATTGTGTATTTCATGTTTTTGTCATTTTATTAGTATTATTCTTAAGTTTCCTAAACAATGGTTATACATTGTATGTTGATGGTTTCAGATTATTCAGTAGGGTGTGTTTTAGAAAGATGACTTCGATTTCGATTGAAGAATAACAAAGACTCGTTTTGTTCTAGTTTGTAGATCATAAGCGGTTAGGACTTGAAAGTTTCTATCTTTATGAGAAAGCTTGAAATTTACTAATACCCTTTCAATTCGCTAATGAAAGAAGCACGAGAAGGTAAGCACAGTGTGTTACACACAATATGTCCGACTAGTGTTGTAACGACAGAAAACAGGGGCAGGGCAACAGACCGTTTATTGAGAAAATCAACAGATATTTATAGATTTTTATATGTATATCATTATTCATTTTGTTAGCAGAGAGGTAATGTCTTCTGATTGGTTGTTTTCCTGCTCTAGGTTATTCTGTCATCTCTTTGTGGCTGTTTCTTAGACAGTCCGTTGATATATATATATATATATCTGCTAATCGTACCCGCCCATGCTAAATCTGATATCATTGATTGTTGAATTAGTCTTTGTTCTTGTTTTTTCTCATAACGAAGATTTTGAATGTACACACTGACGTAAATTGCTGTCTACCGATTTCGGCTAACAGAAAGCTCTCACCACAGTATGAGTAGTGGGGGGTTACTCATCTGAATGAAAACTGTTTACCACCTCCCGTAGACAGATGGAAAATACGTGGTGTTATCATTATTTTCAGCACCCTTGAATGAAAGAATAGTCGGTAGTTTTCAACTACTGATATATTAGATAGTATTTGAACAAGGCATTAAGAAGACAAAGTTCACGAGATGATTTAGTCATTTCGTAGTTTCTTTACAACCGCTTTACAACTAACATGGTTAACAATGATAAAATAAAGTTCATGAAAATTACTCAGTTAAATAAAAACAAAAGTACATACTAATGACCAATCATATTAAGATAGGTCATGCAGTCCAGGGTAGGCGAAGATTGAAGTCTATTGATTTTGTACACACAGTTTAGGCTGTATGTGATTAATCCAAAGTGCTTCCATCACCTTCAATAACCTTGAATTAGAGTTATGTGAAATAATTGTGAAACAGTCATTAATATTTATTTTGTGACCAGACATTAAATTTCTGCTGGACAATGCTACTGATAACGTGCTGCTTGTGGAAAAGCAGATCAATCGACAGCTTCAGATTTTACTGATGCATGGTTTTATAAATGAAAAACTTTATAAACAACTTAAACCAATTGGGTCACATACTCCTCAGCTTTATGGTCTTCCGAAGATCCACAAAACTGGGAACCCACTTAGACCCATCTTAGACATGTCAAATTCTCCTTATCATAAAATCGCCAAATGGATTACAGAGGTCCTTACGCCTGTAAGAGACTCACTATCAAATCATTCTGTAAAAAGTTCATTTGATCTTACAGAAATGCTAGACACCTTGAACATTAAGGAAAAGGTTATGTGTTCAATTGACATAGAATCTTTATTCACCAATGTTCCCCTTCATGAAACTGTTGATTTTATTTGCGATTACATCACAAGCAATGGCATAAACTTACCCATTCCCGTCACTTACATCAAAGACATAATCTTAATGTGTACAGAAAATATTAGATTCACATTCCAAGAAAAGGCATATAAACAAATCGATGGTGTTGCGATGGGGAGCCCTCTGGGGCCCCTGTTAGCAGATATATTTATGTCGAAATTAGAGAAACAAATGCAAGGTACGCTTGGAGAATTTATGCTGTACAAACGTTATGTAGATGATACTCTTATTATTGGTAATAATAGCAAATCTACTGAAAACTTTATCACCCTATTTAATCATATCCATCCAAATATTCGAGTGACTTACGAACTAGAATCCAATAACAAACTCGATTTCCTGGATATTACTATGACTAGGAAAGATGATGGAACGATTCAGCACTCTATTTTTCGTAAACAGACACAGAGTGGACAATATCTTTATTATACTAGTTTTGTTGCTATCCACTATAAACGTTCCCCAGTGAAATGCTTGTTCTCAAGGGCTCGAAAAATATGTACGAGTGACACATTGATGGATGAGCTTCGACATATACATTCAATTTTACTAGCCAATGGTTATCCAGAAAACTTCATCAATTGTCACGGTAAGGATAGACCGCATCTTGAAAAGAAAGCTTCTGTACCGAAGAAAGCTATCTTTATTAATCTACCATTCAAGGGCGACCAGATTATGCAGTTGACAGCTCAAGGACTTCGATCAGCCATCAAACGCACATTCTACGCCGCCATCTCTTTTTCTCACTTGCCGAACATTTTCGATCCCTGTTCCTACGATTAAAGGACGAAATTCTGTGGATTCTACTTCAAACTGTATCTACAAGTTCACCTGCAGCTGCGGTGACACCTATATAGGTAGAACTAACAGAATGTTCCAATGTCGTCGAAAAGAACATATTCCAAAATGGCTAGTAAACCATATCGAAAATCCCAACGCGATTAATCTTAATAGAAATCCAGCATCATCCATTGCAAAACACTTATTAATGTCTGGTCACAAAATAAATATTAATGACTGTTTCACAATTATTTCACATAACTCTAATTCAAGGTTATTGAAGGTGATGGAAGCACTTTGGATTAATCACATACAGCCTAAACTGTGTGTACAAAAATCAATAGACTTCAATCTTCGCCTACCCTGGACTGCATGACCTATCTTAATATGATTGGTCATTAGTATGTACTTTTGTTTTTATTTAACTGAGTAATTTTCATGAACTTTATTTTATCATTGTTAACCATGTTAGTTGTAAAGCGGTTGTAAAGAAACTACGAAATGACATCATCTCGTGAACTTTGTCTTCTTAATGCCTTGTTCAAATTTATCAAAGGGACTAATTGTTTTAATATTAGATAGTAGTATGAAACAACTCGTGAAAACAGTCTAATTCTCCGCAAATTCCGTTTCAAAACTTTAGGTTGCAAAAATATTACTCTTCCTTCCTAACTGATTTAAATATTTGAAAAATATCATTTGTTAATGCAGATTTTCAATGACAAAGAGCATAAGTAGTATGGAATAGTTGCGATAATTCTAACTATTTGATTCAGAAAACTGATTCGATCTACTCTTTAAAAAGGGTCTTTAAATGTTTGAACACTCATTCGGTGGTGAAATAGTCAATTTAATATGCCTGTGACGCAGGAGCAACTATAAAACAGATACTAGTGATAGAAGAGCTTCATAATCTTGAAACGGTTAAATATTTCAACAAGATGTAAAAGTAAATGATCCTTTTCTCTGGTCACATTCTTATTTCTTTTGTACACAAAGGTCTGGCTTAAAGTCATGAATTGCCAAGGCCTCAGCTGTCTTTAGAAGTCTGTAACGAAGAAAACGCGGGAAGTTAGCATGAATTCTATATATGACCTTGAAATCATGGTCAGGGTTGACCGAGTGACAGGAGTCGATGAGGTGTTCTAAGATAGAGCTTCGCACACCTTTCCTTTCTCCCTTGTAAAACCAAGCTGGAATATGTTCTCGTATCCGTGTGGAGAGCATTCTCTGACTACGGCCAATGTACCTTGCTCCACAAGAGCAGGTGAACTGGTAGATGCACATGGAGGCGGTCAGACGGGGGAGCTTTTTCTTCGTTACAGACTTCTAAAGACAGCTGAGGCCTTGGCAATTCATGACTTTAAGCCAGACCTTTGTGTACAAAAGAAGTATGTACAATCCCTACTGCTGCCTTGGCCGTAGAGGGATAGACATTTATTTATTTTATTTATTTAGTTATTCTATGTACATTCTTATTTACCTGACTTAAACAATTGCAGCATAAATAGCTAAGCGTTCTAAGAGAAAATCCTTCCTCTGGATTAAATTTTGGTGTAAAAACTAAGACAGATAGAGTGAATAGTTCGAAATGTACTTTAGGCTATTCGTAAGACTTTGAAGTATTAAAAGGGATTTGAGGTTCTGGTGGGTGTTTTTGATGCCACTGTGTTCTCTGATCCGGATGGTTAGATTGAGGAGATTCCAATATCAGCACTAATGCCTTCATTGTCAGTATCTAAAGGAAATTCCCAGAGCCCACTGCACACTAAAATTAGCGGTGAAAATGTTTTCCAGAGGAACATTGAAAGATTTGTGATTAAATCAACCAATTAGGGGAGAGAACAACGCTAAAAACTCCAAGTTGTATTATACAATCTCAAAAATACAAACAAGATTTCTAGATAATAATGCAAGACTGTAAGTTTAAATATTTCAAGGCAGCGTTCTTCTCTGCTAAGTTTATGC